TCTCCATGTTTCCTCCTATGAAGCTGCTCAGAGCAAAGCTCTGTCACTGTGGGACAAACCCCCGGGAGCGAGTGATCCCACCCCAGACCCACCAGCAGCTCTCACCACGGGCACCAGCTCCTGCTCACCTTTTCCCAGCAATGGTCATTCCGACTAAGACGGCGATGAAGACCCCTGAGCCCGGTGAAAGAGCCAGCGATATCACCCAGGGAAGGAGATTTTTCACTTTACACCTGCAGAAAAAAAAAAAAAAGAAAAATAAACAAACAAACAAAAACCCAAAACAAACAAAAAAAAAAAACCCCACAAAAACAGAAGAGAAGAGCTGGGAAAGAAGAGCCCACAGAGCAGCTGGGTTGGGATTCTTAGTCAAAGCCGCCCATCGCTGATACTGCCGTCACCATCTTCATTCCCTCACCTCTTGCTTAAACTTCCCATCTAAAACCACTTTTAAATTTAGAACTGTACCGTATTTCTTCCTAACAAAAAGATTGCACAGTTCATTTTTTGGGGGGAAAAAAAAAAAAATGCTTGGTGTTCAAAACCACACTTTCACCCAGAATGAATTAATGAATTTGCGGGAGGAGGGCCAGCTCTGATCCCCCTGAAATTCTGGGGTTCCCTCAGGATTTCATTGACCAAAGCCGGGCACCCCCAGCTTTGAGAGCAAACCCCACCCGGTGCCGCAGAGCCACTGCAGCAGCCCCCGGCCAGCGCTGAGGCAGCAGCCGACGCGCTTTGTTGCCTTTAAGTTATAGTTTCTCCATGTATTTGCAGACACAACCATGCAGAAAATCACTGGCTTTAATATCACACTTGTTAGCGGGGAGTGATTCGTTTCTGCCTCAAGGCTGACACTTCCCAACCTTCTGCTTTTATTTTCTCATTCCCAGGTTCAGGCTCGTGGTGCGATGCCGCTGATCATCACTCACCCCGAGATGCCTTTGATGCGTTTGGAGTTTGGCTTTTTTTTTTTTGTGGCTTCCTCTGCCATTTTCTGCAGCACATCACTCTCATTCAGAGCAGTGGAGATGGCTGGAAGATTTGCACAAGACGAGGAGTTTAGCACAAAACCCCCAGGGAGGAGCCTGTGCCGGAGGGTGAGGGGACTCAGCACCCCCATTACACCCTATAAAACATCATTTTTAACATAATCCCATTCCAACACACACAGGCACCGTCAGGACACTTTGCAGGGTGTAAATTCGGATTACCAGCAATCTCTGCTGTTCTCAGCTAATGGTTGGAGCTTGGCGAGTGCTTGCTGAGCTCACATTGTGATTTTAGACACAAGACACGGGGTGCATTTTCAGGTTCCCACCTTAACCAGCAGCTCTCAGGGCTGGGATGTGCCCAGGGATGGTGGCCGTGCAGCAGCAAAAGGGGGCTTCCCCGCCATGACCCGGCCACTGCACCACTGCCTGCTTGTCTGCAGGGATGGAGACTCTTGTCCTCACATAGACACTAACATGGCTGAGCACTTACCATGGTCAATCATTCCAAGATCCTGACAACAGCTCCCGGGCCATCAGCTCCTCCCGACCACGCCAGCCAGCTGCCAAGGAGTAAAATGCACCAAATCCCTGACGTCTTCAGATCCGACACGGCTGCTCCCAGGGCTCCAGAGGTGGCAGAGGCTTAAAGAAGCGTGGGAGTTTCAACGGACAGAGAGAGACAATGAGCTGGAGATGGTTCCCAAACTCAGGGGCTAAATGCTGAAGTCAGGCCAGAAGAAAGCAATCAGGACTCCGGTGCCAGTCCAGCAGAACTCCACCAGCCAAAACACAGCCTGAACACAAGAATTACGCCCCAAAAATTGAAAAGCCTGAGAACCCCAGAGCAGCCCCGTCAAGACATTTCAGCTTCCTGCACCACCCTCCCCATGGCTGGTACCCAAGCAGGGCACTAAGCCTTCCTCTTCCACAAGAGCCAGAGCTGCTCATTGTGCCTAAAACTTGCTGTAGAGAAAGGGCTGGAGCTGCCTGATGGAACACATGGCCTTCTGGGTCTCATGGACAACCCAAGCCTTGACCCCAGGAGCAACAGGAGAGCCAATGTGGCAGTGGCCACATGGGCTATGGACATGCTCCACTTTGGCCTCCCACTTCTCGCTTGCACCGCAGGGAATTACAGGAGCTGCTGCACCTTGCCATGACAAGAACTCCTGCAGGGAAGGGCCCTGCTGTCACCTCACCTGCCTCTTCTCCATCAGAGTCCCCAGAGGTTATCCAAGCTTTGCACTTATCTCCTGGAGAGAGCCAAGAAACAGCCTATATATAAATCCTGACCAAGAAAGAGGAAAAACCAAAAGAATGGAAGGGCTGGGTAATTAGTGTAATATAACCTAATCCCCGAGTGTTTCTGACATCTGCCAAAACAAATAATTTCACTAATAGATTTAAAAGTCTGGGTAAGCCCTTGAGCCTCAGGCACGTAGTCCCAGCAGGCTGAAGCCAGTGCTTTTGCTCAACGCCCGGGAAGGGCCAACAGAGACTTGCATGTCAAATGTGAAAGAGAAAAACCTGATCTGTTTAATTACATGGTACAGACAGAAGTGGGGGTGAGGAGAGACCTAAGACGTGTAATGGTAAATTCTGCTTTTGGAGATACCTGCATAACTGCAACTCTTGGGGTGAGTGACTCTCACTCCCCGAAGGTTCACAGAGCTTGTGCAAACACCGAGAGAAGACATGGGGATCAGCTGGTGGAGAGTCCACTGGAAATTGTAATAATCTCAGTAATGTTGGTTTCAGGAGGGTTGGAGTGAGGCTGAGAAGAACCATCACCTGCCCAGAGAACAGGCTTCTCAACCCCAGCCCTGTCCAGCCAGAAAGGCTCCACGAAGCTCACCTCCAAGGCTGCCCACGCTGCTGCTATCACTCTTGCTGCCCATGCACCAGCCCTGCCTGAGCTGGAGCTAGTGGCCACCATGGTGTCCCCAGTTGTCCCCTCCTGGGTACCCTACCGAGCAGGACCCAGCTATGGAAAGTCACCCCTGTGCCTGCAGCACCAAGTAATTTATTTCCTCTCTTCATTTCTGTATAAAACGTGTCATGAGGTTTAATCTGCCATCGCCTCCCTCCCAGTGATATACTGGGTGTCTCTCTGCAAAGCCCAGACAGGGAGATTTACACCTTATCTAGTGGGAGTGTAAGATTTATAGATAACTCCCCTTCAAGAACACACCATGCCAGAAAGATGCTTTTGTACTAGTAACTTGATCATGCTATAAGTTGACATCTAATTAAGCCTCTGCAGGGATCATCAGGTCCAGAAGAGCTCTTCAGGGGAAGAAACACCCACCTCTTACCACCACGGTGCCACCTTGTCCCGGCAGCTTATCTCCAGCCCCTTGCTCTGCTGTAAATGATAACAATGCTCCCCAGATAAATCTCCAGTACAGCTTCGGGAAGAGCTGCCAGTGTGACCTACACCTGAAAAAGCCCTAGCAGGGGCCAATTTCCAAATGCTGCTCTAAAACACAGTTAAGACTTATTTCTCAGAGACTTTTCTAGGTCATGTCTGTGTCCCCGATGATGTCAGATGCCAGGAAATGCTTCCCACAGCCCCCAGGGACTTGTCTGCGGGTTACAACCCTCTCAGTGGATTTACTTTCCCGAACACATTTCTTGCCTCCAAATGGTCTGGATGCATCAGTGTAGAAGTGTAAATCCTGCTCTCCCTTTGTAGGTTGCTAAACATAGATCTTCATATTTTCTGTTGTCACTGCTATCTGGACACCTTCAATAGAAATGCACAATGCGGCTGAAACTCTGCTTTTCTTCTCAGTGCTTCTCTGTTGTGCTGAGAAGGAAAGGAACACAGCACTGGTGAGAGCCAAAGGCTTTGAACATGTCAAGATGCACCTGGAACCAGTGGCCAATAACTCACTCTGCCGACGCACAAAGGACAATGGTTACGTCCCCGGGCAGCAGGTGTTTCAACAAGCGCTGAACACCTGGATCCCATTGCCAAGGGATTCAGAGCAAAATGGGCAACTCAACCCTCTCTGGAAGACTGGTCATGCCTCAAACTTGAAATCACAAATATCGGGGGCAGGGGAGTGGAAGTCAGAACACAGAGCACAAAGGAGAGTTGGGTGAGACCATAGAGGATGCACTTACATGGCATCTGTGGGTAGACCATGCTCTGTCCTCCAGGCCAGAAGGGAGCCAGGAAAACACAATGGACCCCAAGCACAGAAAGAAAAAGGACTATGACTCCCTTCTGTGAAAGCTTTCACTGCTTGTAGGGGCATTGTCAAAGATGGTGGACATCACCCACCATTTTTTCTACCAGTTGTAATAAATACTGCCAGTGGCTTCTGATTTGGAATAGCTTAAAGAGAGGAAGAAATGATTGTACACAGGCCATGCTAGAGGACAGAGGAGATACCTTAAAAAAGCCTGATCTTCTGTCTGGTCTAAAACTCCCTGAACCCCATAGAAACACTTCTGCTGCCATTAACAGACTTACCTAGGCCTGATGGAAACAGAGGGCATCCCTGCTCTGTTGGCAAGACATTCTTCAGTGTGACACGTGCAGGTCTCATCCCTTCTGCTCTGAGCCACCCAGCTGGGAAAGCAACACAAACCACAGCAGCTTCTCGCTGGTGTGGACATGGCAGCGGCTCTCCCTGTGATGTTCTGAAGAAAGCAGGGCTGTAGAGCAAAGAAACCCATGTTCACTTTCTAGCAATGTTTGATTTCTTGGCACCTTCCACCCAGAGACCTTTCTTTGTGCTTCCCAGTAACACCACAATGAAGGCAAGCTGCCCCAGCACCTACTGTTCACTCTTTCACCTCACCAGGTCAATAGCCAATGCAATCAAGTATACAGGGAAACAATAAAAATGGTTTATAAAACAAAGTGTCCGTCCAATGACCTGGTTTCCAGCCCCTTTTGCCAATTTCTGCCCCATCAGCCTTGGTTGTGAAGGTATATAAAGGCAGCACAAATCCTTGGTGTGGCCACGGCAAGACACGGACTGAGTTAGAAGAATGGGAAGACTGGCCAGGAAAGGTAAAGATGCATTTGGGCAGTGAATAGATTGCTATAGACTTTGCTTGTACTTACTTTGGGATGTCTCTGTAAGGGCCAGTTCTGGTCAGAAGTCCAACTTTCTGCAAAGACTGATATAAATGTGGGGTTTTTTTCCTGCAGGTTAAGCTTTCTGAATGACTTGTTTTGTTACTATTGTAAGAGCATTACAAACATTATAAACAATTCCCAAATGTTTTTCAGAGAGGTAGATAACACTTTTGCCTTTTTATTTGATTTTAGCCTCCTCCATAGCTTCAATTCGTTCCTCAACCAATTTTGGCTCCTGTGTATTTGCTACTTTTACACCAGTTGTAGGCCATTATATGCTTTTTTTAGCAGGCTTGGCATTGCTGAAGGCACATGTACTTACAGGGGGTTTTCAAGGCTGTTTAGCAGGCAAGGCATTGCTGCAGGCACATGTACTTACAGGGGGTTTTCAAGGCTGAGCCTTCTGTTAGGGCTTTTAAATTCCCCAGCACTACTGGGTGAGAGCTACGCTTTGTTATTGCACAAATACCGACCAGCTTGGGATCACAAACTCAGCCTGGGAGTGGATCTGGGGCTTCCAAGCGTGGCTCCTTGCCTCAGTGGCTGGGCCAGTGCCACGCTGCTCTGACCAGGCTGCTGTAGATGCCCTTTTCTTCTTCCTCCAGGTGCCAGCATGGCCAATCTCCGCACCCTGAGCATCCTCCTGAGCCTCCTGGTCCCCGCTCATGCCACCAGGTCACCCGACTGCGGGGGCGTCCTCACCCCAGCAGGACTCAGCTACTGTAAGTGCAGACTCTGCATCTCCCACACCATCAGCAGGGAGGGGAGGCAGCAGCATCTTTCAGTCTGGTGATGAAATACAAAGCTGTCACTAGAAAAAAGCCATTAATCAGCTCATTTTCACCATCCCCTTTCTATAACCAGTAAGGGGAGGGTCAGGAATGGATGGAAGCATGTTGCCTGGGCAGATTTCAGTCTGTCCATCTCTGTGCATCAGACCACAAGCTCCAGAAGGTCTCATAAAATATCTGCCCTATTCCACAGTTGCTGAAATTTCAAAGCCACATGCGGAGACAGTCCTCAGGCAGGACCTAATGGCTCCAACAGCCCCAAACCTGTTCCGTGGTGCCACAAAGCCCAGCAGGTGAGTCCATGGCTCTGTCTTGCCCAGGCTTTGCTACCGTACCACTTGGTTCATGCTGCTGTTTAGCTGGAGCTCTTTGAATCTCATCACAAAAGGCATTTTGCCAGTGAGAGAAAAAATCCTCCTGGAGACTAACACGGCTGTTGGCCAGAGGAGTTTAGAAACAAGCTCCTGGCTCCTATTTTGGGGTCTCAGGGCAGCAGCCCCAGTGCCACCCTCAGGGCACTGATTTATGCGTGCAGATCTCATGGACTTTTGGGGTTTGCCCACTGTAAGGGCAGCTGGGGATTGCACATCAGTCTGTGCTGGTCTCCTGACACCTTCATTTCTGCTCCTGCAGGAACCAAATTAACTCTGTCACAGTTACCGAGCTGACTCTGACACTTATCCCTGACACCGGGCTGCGGCTGAGCATCGATGTGGACCTTGGCATCACACCCGCCCCGTGAGTGCTGGGGCCGTGGGGCTGGAAGGAGCCCAAGCTCCTGGCTGGAGAAATGGGGCTACATCCAGCACCCACTGCCTGCCTGTGGGATCTGGGGGGGCTGGGGCGAGGGGGACCAGGAGCAGCCCCCACACTCCAGCATCCGCCTCTCCTTCCCTGGCACAGCTCCACCACCAAGGTGATGAAATTGTCCATCCTGTCAGACCTCCACGTGGAAATGAACCCCGAAGGGAACCTGGAGATGGTGGCCTCTGCCTGCAAAACCAGCTTGGAGGAGACGCAGAGCACCGAGGAGATGGAAAGGTCAACCCCACAGTTTTCCTTGTTTTGGGATCTGAGTAACAGGGGAAAAGAAGGAACTGAGGCACAAGCATTTCTAGGCAGGAAGGTGATGTGACTAAGATTTGCATACTGAAAAGCTTACAAAGGTTCACACAAAAACTTTATCTTCATAGGAGGAACTTTCTTCTGCTTGCAGGGTTGCTTTCCACCATTATCAGAGAGTTTCACTCTCTCATAAGGGAGTGGATCTTCTAAAGTAGTGTAGCAGGAACATTTTTAATGCAAGTCCATTGGCAATTCTTCAGTGCTTTAGGATTCTGAATTGTAACCATAGCTTAATAGATGGCAGAAAATAATACCATCTCTAGATATCTTCTGGGTCAGGTAAAAGATGCTCACCTACCCTTGGCTGAGCTGGTTGTTTCCTAACTTCTTCTGTTCTGTTGTTTTCATCCAGCAAGTCCTCTAGTTCCAACGTGGACAAGGAGATTAACGTCGATAAGGTAAGACAAAGTTTGTAAAGGCGTGGGACAGGAGAAGGCAAAGTTGTACAGTTCTGTAAGAATTAGAGCACTTTAAGTCAGCCTCATGCTTTTCCAGGTCTCCCCCACAGCCCCACATGTAGGTCACTGAACGCTGCCATCCCCTGTCTCCTGGCTGCCACGTGGCTGGCCAATGGGGACACCCACGCCAAAGGTGTTCAGGGGACACCTGATGCCAGCAGAACCCCAAGTTCATCTACCACCTCTCTTTTTGCTCTTTATTCCATAGATTTGCCTGGAAGTCACCAAATTGCTGCTTTTGCCAAATGAGCGGCTGATGTCTCTGACAGGTGAGCATTTGCTTTCAAGTCTCATTGTGGTCTAAGGGCTTCAGGGCTCATTTTGGAGCAGGTCAAGAGATGGGATGGGATCCACTGCTGTCACCTCCCCAGGGACCCACTCTCTCCACCCAGCTCTCCTTCCCTGTTTCTTTACTTGGGAAACCCAGACACTTCCCAGCCCCAACCTGCCCTCACCACTCCCCTCCTCCTTCTGAGCATCCTTCTGCTTGGTTTGCAGCTCAGTTCCCTGTCACGCCGAGCTGCCAGGTCCAGTACCTGCCCCTGGCTGCACCCATGTTCTCCGAGCAGGGAATCACCATATCCTTGCAAGTAAGTCCTCGCTTTCCAGCACTCACAGCCCGGCTCCAGGCTTTGGGAGAGCCGCTTCCTCCCAGTGCTATGTTCCCTGAGACACCTCAAACTCCTCTTTTTCCTTGTTCATGTCCCTGCAGACAATTTTCCAGGTGGTGGGGATGCCGATCCCCCTGCCAGTCAGCCCTGTGCCGTTCAGCATGCCCGAGCCAGCGAGCTCCAGCCCTTCTCACCTCACCCTGGCTTTCTCTGAGCACTTCTACAGCAGCCTCTTCTTTGCCCTGGAGATGTCTGGAGCCTTCAACATGACCATCCCGGTGAGCAGAGCTAATGTGGAGCAGAAAATCAGCATTTGGAGGGACAGCCCTGCCCCATGAATGGCTTGGAGGAGCTGCATCCCCTCCAAAGAAATGAAATGGTGTCTCTAAGTGCCCACGGGAGTCACATCTCCTCACCCCTGGGCTCCCAAAAATATCACTGGTCTAATGGCCCATGGAGAATTTGCCATGAAGAGTAAGCAGAATGCTGCTACTCCTGCATGTACCCACATGCAGCACAGTGCTCACCACAGGGTCCAACATGGCCATGCTGGACATGAGCCCCAGGGCAGCACCCCCAGGCAGATCACAAGCTGTGCTTTGTCTTTCAGACCCGTCTGACCACCGCTACCATGACCCAGAAGATTACTCAGGTTCGTTGCTGTTGCCCTCACTCCAAGAGGCACGGCCCCAGCTTGTGCAGTTTTGCTCCAAGAGGCACGGCCCCAGCTTGTGCAGTGCCCCCCAGCCACCTTCCCACCACCCCGGGGGTGCACGGGACGGCTGCCATGCCCAGAAATAACCCTCCTCCCTCGGCAGATGGGCTCCCTCTTCCAAGAGGACCTACCGGTGATAATGCAAGCCATGTTCAGGAGCTCACCTCGGGTGGTGCTGGAGGAAGGCAAAGCAGCCCTGAAGCTCTTCCTCACCATCCATGTTGGGGCAGAAACACCGGCTTTCCAGAGCTTCCTGAGTGTGAATGTGGTGAGTGTGCCCTGTCAGCATGCCAAGTGTGCCCTACCACTGTGCCCTAGTTATACATGGGCAATTCCTGTTGCTCCAAGACCTGGCCCAATTGCAGCCATCGCATGGGGCACATTTAGCCTTTACCTGCCACATCCTTCATGGTCCCAACTGGTGTTTGCCTCCATTGTGTAGCACAGGGCACAAGGACATCATGGGTGGGTGGGTTCCTCGCATTGTGCTATTCAAAGGTGAAGCAGGACCATCTGCTCACTCTGCTCCTGCCCTCTCTTTTCCCCTCGCAGGACATGACTGCAGGACTCCTCCTCAGCGTCGTCGACACAAGGATGATGATCTCCGCGGCAGGGATAGAGTAATGAACCCAGCTATTCTCCAAGCCCTCAAACGGGATGTGTCCCTGTCACGGCAGGGAAAGGAGAGGCAGAGTGATGTGGGGAATTCCTTAGCTTTTATGGTTTGGGCAGAGGTAGCTTTCTCCCAAAGGAAAGGGTGAGACTCCAGGAAGGTGGTTAGAGGGAGAAGTGGAAATTGCACCCTTCCACCCCCTGTGTTCAGCACAGGTGTAGCTGTGTGGCTGACACACACCAACACCGACTGTCTCTGCCTGTTCCTGTCACACCACCAGCTCCGCTGCCGGGGAACACACACTCTCGATGGCCCCATCTGCAAACACAGCCTGTGGCTGGGGGGCTCCAGCGTGCCCGGCCGTGGCAGTGGCTGCAGCAGCAGGGAGCTCCACAGCTTCCTGCACCCCAGTGTAGCCTGCCCACATCAGCAGGGCACCCACAAAAGCTGCTCAGTCCCGGTCCTGGGGGCCAAAACCTCCTCAAACCCTTGCTGTTGTGCCCGGGGGAAAAGTCAGGCTCCAGCCACCTGCTCAGGTGTGCCCAGACACTAAATTCACTGTGGGCTTTGCCCCAAACTCAGCCGTGGTGTTTGGGGGAACATGAAAATCACCACTTACTACAATTTATTACAAGCATCTCCTTTGTTTTCCAGGGAGACTGAGCTCAGCCTGGCTACCTCCGACGTGGGTCCTGTGCCGGTAGGTGCCCCCAGCCATGCACTCCCCCGAGGTGACCAAGCTCAGCCATGTCCCCCCCACCATGCTGCTGTGACAGCCCCTGCCTCAGCACCATCCTCTAACAGCCTGGTCACCCTCAGCTGCACCAGGCAGCAATTATCATAGAATCACAGAATGGTTTGGGTTGGAAGGGACCTTAAAGATCATCCAGGTCGAAACCCCTGCCATGGGCAGGAACACCTCCCACCAGGCCAGGTTGCTCAAAGCCTCATCCAGCCTGGCCTTGAACCCCTCCAGGGATGGGGCAGCCACAGCTTCTCTGGGCAACCTGGGCCAGTGTCTCACCATCCTTACAGGAAAGAATTTCTTTCTGATTTCCAATCTAAATCTCCCCTCTCTCAGGTTAAAACCATTACCCCTCATCCTATCACTACACTCCCTGACAAAGAGTCCCTCCCCATCTCTCCCGGAGCCCCCTACAGGTACTGGAAGGCCCCTTTAAGGTCTCCCCGGAGCCTTTTCTTCCCCAGGCTGAACAACCCCAACTCTCACACCCTGTCTTCATAGGAGAGGTGTTCAATGAGAGGTTCATCAGGGAAATATTTCCTTTGGGTGCTCATTGCACCCTGCAGAAGGGAGAGGCAGGTCTATTGGGGATTGGGAGAGGCACAATGAGCACCAGGACCCCTCTCTTGCTGGTCCCTGCCCCTCTCCTCCTGCTGTAGAGTCACACTATGAGCAAGCTGACCATGGCTTTCCCTTTGGCAGGATGCCTTACTGGAGGAGTTATTCTTGCCCACCATCCGTGAGGAGATACCAGCTCACATGAATGGTGAGATGCCAGGAGTTCTGCAGTGGTGCTGCCACACAGGACACATGGCGAGGACGAAGGCAGCACCAAGATGGCAACTTTCCCTCTTTTTTTTTTTTTTTCTCTAGTGATCCTGAGCGAGGGTGTATTCCTGCCCCACATCTCCAGCTTTACCTACACTGACATCAACGTTGTGATTCACAAGGTAAGAAATAAGATATTTAAATTGCTCTCTGCTATGTTTGATTTAAAGGGAACCCAGGAGCAATGCTTACCTCCCAGCTCCAGAATAAACCAGAGCCCACTCCTCTAGCCCAGTTAACTCACAGAAACAAGTTTCATCACTTTAAACAGGCATTGTTCCTCTCTAGCCCCACTAACATGAGCAACAGCTGTGTTGGAGGGGCCATCAGTCTGTGGGGAGCCCTGTGCAGGCTAATGAGAGCCACAGGGGACCTTGCTCATCCCTCCTTCCTCCGCTTGTTTAGGACTACGTCTTGATCCCCTGCAACCTCAAGCTGCAGGTGAGGCCTGGAGAGCAGATCACCATGAGCTGAAGTCTGGTGCCCGGAGTAAAACAGTGGCAAAATTGTTCTGTTGACTCTTAAATCATACTTTGTGTTTTGTCACTGCTTGAAACGTTGAAAACCTTCTTTCTTGCCTTACTAAACCAGCACTGTCTCAGATTTAGGATAACACCGGCATTGCACTAGCGACTCTCTCTTCCAGTCCTGCTCTTGGTATTTTTGTTGCTCAGAGAGGATGGATTGTTACCATGTTCCACACTTCAATTAAACATTTCTCTTTCATACTGCATTTTCTGGTGTCACTATTGACTTTTTTCGCCCCTCAACGTTTTGTGCCTAAAGACAGATGAATATTTTCTTGCTAAGAACCAGTACCAGCACAGATGTCCAGACCCTACATTTAATTATGGGAGCATGAAAATTCCATTAATTTATAAGGATGCAAAGCAGCCCCATGCCTCTCAGCTGCAGAACGACATGGCCCCTTCCAAGAAGAGATCTTTCATCTTCTTTTCCTCTGTTTCTGTGTTACTATGGGAACATTCCAGCTGGTGGTTTTCCCTGGGTCAGAAAGAAGGGGAAAAAAAAATCCAGTCTGCACAATAGTTTCTAATTTTAAACTTGAAGGCAGCTATATTTTCAAAACTATACTTCTGACAAAGCCCATCACAGAGAAACTGCTACATGAAAGGTGACTGCATGGGTATGGACGGTGCTGTGTGGTGGCTCGACACGTGCCCACCACGTTTGTCAATATTGGAATGCTCTTTCCTACTGATCGAACACATCCCCATGCTCAAGAGGTTGTTCAGCAAACTAAAGGGGGGAGGAAAAACCCCACAACAGACTTGAGGGTCCAAAACAGAAGGGTGGGCTGCTAACGGAGCTCCTAAGGCCACCCGAGATGCTCCATCACTGGGTGCTGGACAGGGTGAGCGATGCCCAGGAGGAGCACCCTCACCACCAGCTGCTCTGCTCTCACGTAAGCTCTGCAAGGGTGATTCCCAAGAAACCATATTAATTACCTATACATCTGCTTTCACTTGCAACAGCCATACTCATCATTTCTAGCCCCTGGAGCTGCTGAAAAGCACTTCAAAACCCTCATATTTCTGAAACTCGGAAATAGGAAAGCAAACAAAACAAGCCAAGTTGATTTATTATAAGGAGTAAAAAACCCTGAAGGTTTATATACCCAGCTTGTGGACCTGACTAATGATTTTAATGCCCAAAGTTGGCAACAGTGGGAACTGCTCCTAATAAAAGCTTCCTAGTAGAGCTGCAACCATTATTCTTTGACTAATATATCTTAAAGCCGGTTTCCCAAAAGGAAAAAGCTAAAGTAGTAAAAAGATTAATTTATTTGCCCGTAGATATTCTGGCTTTAGGCTCCACTGCACGGCTCGGCATCTCCAGAGTAGGGTTTGGGTCACGGGATCTGTACAGCCCGACTCCCAGCCCCACACGTCCTACCTGGGACCAGCAACAGGCTCAGGGACAGAACTGGCTTATGCTGGAGAACTGGGTCTTCTGCTGCTCCCTCCTGTCATCCAATTTACTGAGCTCCCACAGCACAGCCACATCCGCAGGAGATGGCCAGCGTTGTCCCCAGCGGCCACCCTGGGTTCACCTGGAAAAAGAAATGCTGAAAAAAAAGTGTTTGTATTAATGGTTTTAGGTTTTTTTGGCATAAACCAAATCCATCGTTTTCCTGGGTAGTATCCCAGGGTCCCACAGAACCTTGCTGGAGGCAAGGCTTCCCTTGCTGGAGCAGGACATGGCAGCCAGATGGTTCAAATGCTGGAAAAACAGAGATTGGGCCCCTTTGCCAGCCCCTGTGGAGCAGCAGTGGGATGAAGCTTTACCAGGACATTCCTGGAGCAAGGGCTGGAGAGCCCACAGTCCCACGCACAGCCCAGGCATAGCAGGCAGCCCATCGCACCCGGCTCCCACTGCTCACCCATAAAAAGATTTTCCAGCGTGTGGAGGTGCCAGTACACTGGAAAATGACTATTTGGTGGTTTGTCCCAGTTCCTGTGAATTCTGACATGCAGTTTCCTGCTTTGGATTTACTCCTGAACCCACCAGCAATTCAGAGCACTAGATTTACAAGTTGCAGAAGTAACGAGTTACACCGAGGAGATGCTGCCCTTTGCTTTTGAAAAAGTTCCTCTGCTCCTTCCCACTCAGCCCCGCACGATAAACAACATGAGAGAGCCCAGGAGGGAAAGCCATTTCCAGATGCACAAGATGACTTTTCCACTTTTCTGTGATCCCAAGCCCATGCAGTCCCTGCCCTGGCTCTGCGAGACAGAGAGCTCCCCAGTTACACTCTTCCCTCTGTTTTTTTCCTTCTCAGGTCAAACAGACCCCTGGGACAGCGTCGGATCACAGATCACTCCATGGTGTGCCAGCAAAATTAATCCCCCCCAGCAAAGCAGAATGCACACAGGAGTGCTGGCCAAAAGCATGTGCGACAAAAGCTGCTAAACTTTACTTACCATACAAAGCCTGTTTGCTCAGGAAACAGAACAAAACCTCGTACAAACAGAGCCCGTTATGCCAACCTGCAGGCAGAAAGGGTCAATGGAGAAGCCAGGCCCCATCAATCTGGTAACCCTGAGATAGCACAAAGCAGCTGCCAGCGCACGTCCGTGGGGCTGCTCGTCCTGCTCATTGGGCAACGGGGCCCCCCAAAACCCCACAGAGTATGAGCAAAGGGGTCTGAAGGCCCCTCCTGCTGAGCACAGCCCAATGGTCCACAACGTTGTCTTGTGTTCACACCTCGCTTCGCAGAAACTCAGAAACATGGTTTAGTTGGGGCTGCCCATAGTGGGGAGTCCCATCCCCATGCAGGAGCATCATTTCTGTCTGGGGACAGGGCAAGGTCCATGTTACCAGCAGCTGAATGGCCCTTGGAGAGCACAGTCCCACTGGCGCCATCAGCCTGCACGGTGCTGGGAACCAAAGGACCCATTCAGACTCACTGAAACACCATCTTCAGTGTTACCGTGTACTTCAACCCACCCAAAACCCTCCTGTTGTGACACAAGAGATGCCAGCCCATGTGATGACGGTGCACAACACCATTTGGAACAGCGTGGGACAGCTATGGGCAGGTTGCATGAACCAGGACTGCCACAGGGTCCAGCGTCTCCTCTGCTGCATTCGGTGATTCCTCTGCAACATCTCGCTGTGATGCTGGAAATTAATGCAACAACCAGGCCCTTTTGCCCGGCAGATACTGAACTGTTCTTACCTTTAGGGAGAAATGCAGAACAGGAGATTGCCCCTGTCCTTTACCTGATCAGTGACAGCCTTCTTCCATGCATCCCCCATGCTTTAGCAGTGTCGTACTGCCATCAGCTCTGGGGACACTGGCAATAAATAACACACTAGTAACAATGTCTAGTGCTGGGAAAAACAGGTGTTTCAGGGGCCATTTAATACCTCAGATGTATTTGGGTTTTTACCAGGAATCACTTGTTTTTCTGAAATCAAAAATGCCTGAGTTCTTTTCCCTGGATGTTGTGGTTTAACCTCAGCTGGCAGCGAGAACCACACAGCCACTCACACACCCCCCTCCACCCCAAAATTGAGGTGAGGGAGAGAATCAGAAGAGTAAAAGTGAGGAAAAACTGGTGAGTAGAGATAGAGATGGTTTAACAGGCAGAGCAAAAGCCACACACACAAGCAAAGCAAACTGAGGAGTTAATTCACAGCTTCCCACCTTCAGGCAGGTGCTCAGCTGTCCCCAGGACAGCCAGGCTCCATTATGTGTAATGATTACTTGGGAAGACAAATGCCATCACTCTGAACGACCCCTCCCTTCCTCCTGCTTCCCCCAGCTTTATATACTGAGCATGACATTATGGTATGGAATATCCCCTTGGTCAGTTGGGGTCAGCTGTCCTGGCTGTGTCCTCTCCCAACTTCTTGTGCCCCTCAGCCCGCTCGCTGGTGGGTTGGCATGAGGAGCAGAAAAGGCCTTGAGAGCTTAGCAACAGCCAAAACCACTAGTGAGCTACCAACAGTATTTCTCATCCCAAAACCAAACCACAGCACTACACCAGTTGGTGGTAAAGGAGTTAACTACATCCCAGCTGAAACCACGACACTGGGACATGCTGAGACCAACTGATGGTTACATCAGCAGACACAGACTACTGCAGACAGATGGGTGTTATCATACTTCTCAATTTTCTGGTAATGAGGTTTTCCTTCAGACTCTATTAGGAAATACTTTGTGGCTTTTGGAAATTCATTCTGATTTCTGCTTGTGGACTGGCACTTGGTCAGCAGGTTACCCTCACCAGGAGTAGCCACTGAATATCTAAGTGTTGGTTTTTTTCTCAGAAGTTTGAATGGAAAATGTTTTCAAGCCAAAACCCAAAATATCAGTTGTCCCAAAGGAACCAGATGCCCCAGCAGGAGGCAAGGACAGATACTCTTCCTGAGAAGCACCAGAAACCAGAACCTTGTTCCAAGCACTAAAGATGTAGGAATGTTTATTAAAAGAGTTAAATTACAAATGTGTCCTGACCTCCCACTCAGCACTTCACACCCTTGTGAACATGGATGGTGACATTTACTCCAAAAGCCATATGTAACAAGTTCACTTTTCCATAATATCAAGAACAATTTTCCCTCAGAAGAAATTTAACAATTCCAGGGCAGCATCGCATGCAACTGCTATAACTGTGACCCCAAAATCATGCTAATTTCTCTAAATAAATATTTGTACACAGAGCTGCCTATCAGGTGTTGGCTTATGCAGGTGTCTTAGTACTCACACGGGCCAATTAACTTTGAAGTGTCTTAAATGTTATCAAGAATCTTGAATCAAGTTTAGAAAAGAAAAGTAGATAATGCTGGTCTCGGTGCTCCATCCTCGTTGGTCTCTCTTGCTCTTTCTCTGCCCAGAAAGACCTCTCTGTGCCTTGAGCTCCTCGGATCACACGAGAATCACCAACAGGCCCTGAAGAAGTGCAAGGAGTGACACATCCACGTTATTTCCCAACTTTGAGGGACGCTGGGTCACAACAGGTTGTCAGCAACACACAGCGAACAGCAAACCTTCTTGCAAAAAACCCTGATGTTAAGTTTGTAGTAAGGAGGGCACGGTACCCTTTGGGACATGTTGGAGAATATCCCAGCCCCTCTGGGACATCTCCAGGATGCACAGGGATGGAATTTGGCACAATTCAAGACACTCTGAACGGTGCCACTTGAAAGGGCTTTGCCAGACCCCCTGGACCCACATCAGAGCTGCTCTGGCAGGGTTCTGCAGGAAGGAAAGGCAGCCTGGAGGGGGGAACCAGGAATATTGCTCACTGCGTACCTGATCTGATAATATTCATGGGCACGAAGTATTTGGGCAGCACTTTCTGACCTGAAAGTCAGACAGAGCAACCCTTTCTGGCCTTTTAAGATTTAAAGTCTATGGCTCTTGCACACTAATCCACCACTGGCAGGGTCCTGTTACGGGAGCCAGCTGCTAGAAACAGCCCCAGTGACCTGCCCCGCAGGAGAAAATAGCCTTTCTAAATGCTTACCTTTAATATCTGAACATTCACCTTTATTAAGGGAATGCCCAGCACGTTTGGCAGAGGGATCCCGATGCCCAGAGCACCTGCAGGGGACAGACAGGTCCTTACACACCAGCAGAGGGGTGAGCCCAGCTCCCATCCCATGACAAAGCTGCTCCCAGGGAGGGGAGCAGAGCTGCTCAAGAGGCATGGATGAACCACCACCACATATGATGCTTTCCTTAGATTCTCTGCCACTAACTGTTGCCAGGGCCCTTAGGACTGAAGCTAGGGTGGATAGTGTAAGAATAAGTTTGGGATTTTTTGACTACAGCCTCAAAATGGGGACTCCAGAACTTTAATCGTTCCAACTCTCCTACTACAGCTTTCCACCGTGCACATGTATCACAGAATGGTCAGGGTTGGAAGGGACCTCTGGAGATCATCTAGTCCAACCCCCTGCCAGAGCAGGGCCACCCAGCACAGGTTGGACAGAAACACGTCCAGGTGGGGTTTAAATGTCTCCAGGGAAGGAGACCCCACCACCTCTCTGGGCAGCCTGTTCTAGGGCTCTGCCACCCTCAAAGTAAAGAAGTTCCTCCTCATGGTTAGATGGAACTTCCTATGTTTGAGTTTGTGCCCGTTACCTCTTGTCCTGTCACTGGGCACCACTGGAAAAGGACTGGCCCCATCCACCTTGACATCCCTCTCCCCTCCTCAGTCAAACTACTTCCAATGTCCCTGCTATCCTGGTCACCTTACCGTTGAGAAGGGGCAGAAAGGTTTCCGTCAGCAGACTGCTGCAGTGTGGCTTCAGGTTGGAGATCTGAACCAGAGAAGGAACACAGACGTGAGCGGGGCTGCCAGGCACATGCCAGCAGCAAGCACAGCCCAGCCCCATGGCTGGAACACATCCAGTCCTGGGGACTGGAAATAACTTCCCACTGACACAGTGAAAGAACAAATAGACCCTCTTTTCTCTAAAGCAAATCTGCTTTTCTTCCTCAATTTGCATTTGGTGCTTCCTTTGGGAAAACCTTCTACCAGGCAAAACTCCTGCTGGAGCTCCGTGTAAGCTTTGCCCAAAGCAGGGGTGAATAAACAAGCAGACTTCAGGCTTTACATTTGCATTATTAGAAAAGGCGGAAGGGGAAAAAAAAAAAAAAAAAGCAGCAAAAGAAGAATTGCTATGACCTACAAAGTAGAGCAGCTAACAACTAAGGCCATCAGGAGATGTAATCCATCACAGCCAGGACGTGTTACAGCATCACACAGCGACCACGTGTCTCCTCCTTCCCCAGAGCCACCAGGCACACACCCCACACCTCCCAGACTGGAACCAGAGACTTACGCTGCTGATGCCGATGTCAGAAGACTCCAAGGAGAGGGAAGTGCTGCAGGGAAAGGAAGGCAAACAGCACGTCAGATGCCAAGAGCCTACAGATCCCTATCATGAGTCCCCTGAACACCTCCTAGAGCAGCATTATTTAGCCCATGGTCAAGGGATCCCTGTGAGGCATCATTGCGGGGGGAGTCCATAAAGGATTCACTTTATTGGAACACGGAAAGCAGGCACTGCCACACTTGCAAGAAAGAAATAAAATAAGAAAATAAAAGCTTAACTTAATTTTTGCTTTTAAATGGGCAAACAGCACGTCAGATGCCAAGAGCCCACAGATCCCTGTAGTGAGACCCCTGAACACCTCCTAGAGCAGCGCTAGTTAGCCCATGGTCAAGGGATCCCTGTGAGGCATCATTGGGGGGGAGTCCATAAAGGATTCACTTTATTGTAACACGGAAAGCAGGCACTGCCACACTTGCAAGAAAGAAATAAAATAAGAAAATAAAAGCTTAACTTAATTTTTGCTTTTAAATTAAGCAGTGCTGCAACAGGGCACACACTAGCTCCTGCATCATTGCGGGGGGAGTCCATAAAGGATTCACTTTATTGGAACACGGAAAGCAGGCACTGCCACACTTGCAAGAAAGAAATAAAATAAGAAAATAAAAGCTTAACTTAATTTTTGCTTTTAAATGAAGCAGTGCTGCAACAGGGCACACACTAGCTCCTGGCTTCCCCTTCCCTCTCCCGTACCCAGGTAGTTGTTCACCTTAGGAAAGGCATCAGCTCCTGTTTTGCTGAGAGCAGAGCTTCTAGAAGCAGCATCCGGTCTGGATTTAAAGATCATGAGCTCTGGAGAATTTGCTACAGCTCCTAATCTGTCATTGCAATCACACAACTATCTCCATAGCTAAAACTTACGCTTTATTTCCACTTTGAATTTCTCTTTTCTTCTTCTATTGAAACCTGTTACATCTTTGTCTGTTGAATTAAAAGCCCTTTGATGCATTTCTGTTCTCTGTATCGCTGCATACAAGCTATGCCAATGTTGCTTCTAAATCTAGCTCTTTGACAAGCTAAATGGCTTGAAATCCTCAAACCTCACACTGTAAGAAATGCTTTCCAATCTTTAATCATACCTTGACTGGCATTAATGATAGTACTTTCCTTTACTCCTTTATCATTCATGTCCAATCTCAGACATTTCAAACTACTGCCCAGGATGAAAGTCAAGCTGACAGTCTTACAATTATTCAGATTAACTAATTTCTCCTTGTTATAAAAATGACACAGACTTTTCCTCCAGTTTCCTAAAACTTTCCAGCTGCTCTAATGTTTCCCTGAAAGCCAGCAATACCTGCCCACCTCCTGCCACCAGCCAGGTATGAAATTCTCACCTCCAGGAAATGAAATGTCTGTTTTACAGACGCTGGAAAACATTTCAAGTTCATGGCCTCAGAGCTAGTGCTGCAACGCCGAGAATGTCACCAGCCTGTAGGAGGGCAGCACTGCCCAGCTTTGTCACAGCCCTGTCTGTGCAATGCTCCCAGCCCCTCTGCTGTAGTTCAGGCAGCTCCAGCAGCGCTGTGCCACCGAGGGACACGCTGTTACAGCACTTGGAGCATCCCTGATGAGCTGCAGCCCTCATCATAGAATCGTTTTGTTTGGAAGAGACACTTAAGATCATCAAATCCAACCGTTAACCCAACACTGCCATGCTACCACTAAACCACGTCTCTCAGCACCACATCTACCTGTGCTTTAAATACCTCCAGGGATGGTGACTCCACCACTTTCCTGGGCAGCCTGTTCCAATGCTTGATAACCCTTTTGGTGAGGAAGTTTTTCCTAATATCCAATCTAAACCCCCCCTGCCACAACTTGAGGCCGTTTCCTCTTGTCCCATCACCTGTGACTTGGGAGAAGAGACCAACACCCCCCCACCTCTCCACACCTTCCCTTCAGGGAGTTGTAGAGAGCAAGAAGGTCTCCCCTCAGCCTCCTTTTCTCCAGGCTGAACACCCCCAGCTCCCTCAGCCTCTCCTCATAAGACTTGTGCTCCAGAACTCCCACCAGCTTCGTCACCCTTCCTGCTGTCCTGCTCTTCTGGTCACTGCTTCCCAGAAAACTGAACCTGCACCCTGAGCTCCAGGAAAGCTGGAGTTTCACAGCACGGCCGAACACCCCAGGGTGTCTCAGGGGACCGAGAGGCTGGGGTGCTGCAGCAGGCTTTGCTTCGAGCCCCCCAGTACAGCTGCTGTGGGGACAGCCTACCTGCCCAGGGACAACCCCAGCACCAGTTTGCCTCCAGCAATCGACACGAGGGCATTTAGACCAAGGTCCTGCAAGCAGACAGGGAGAGGATCAGCCTGGGAAGACGTCCCCATCCCAGCTGCCAGTCACTCAGCCAGCTGCACACTTCACCCGTCTGAGGTCTTTACATCCACACTTACAGCCTTCAGCAGCAGGAGGTTGAGGATGGATCCATCTAATCGCTCAATGAGCAGCTGAATCATGACCGAAAGCTCAACGGTGGCTTTGTTTTCTTCCAAGAGGATAAGTGGGTTCCCAGACAACGTTAGCTTAATGACCAGAGGACTGGTCCCGCGGCAGCTGGAGCACTGTGGGAATCGGGGACACATGGAGGTGGCTACCCACAGCCCACCCACTGGCCAGGCAAGGGACCAGCAGTCCTCTGGGGGACTCTCCCAGTCTCTGTAGGGCCTCCCCTAAGGTCACACAGACTTTGGACAAGCCAAATTTACAGAGCAAATAGGTTCGGCAGCACAGGTCAGCACTCCATGCTGCAGGCCGTAGGGGGCTGAGGAAGAAACGGTGGACACTAAGGGGGCTGTGGCTGTAAGAGGGTGCCCATGGTGCCCAGGAAACAGGGGATGCCAGGCATTTATCAGCTCTTTCTGTCAATAGCTGTGAGCTGCTAGAGAAGACGTTAGGGAGTGGTAGGAGGTTGGCTACAGCCGATGGCCCACAGGAGAGCGGGCACCGCACAGAGGCTGCCAAGGGCTGGGCACAAACCTCTGGTCCCTTCACCCGCTTCCCATCAGCTGGTCGGGCAGCAGGGCAGCCTTGAGCTACGCTGGCACGGCTTGACCGTGGTGTGTGCTCAGCATGGCCAAGAGGAGGGGAGCAGAAGACAGGAGACCTTTGGCAGCAACACGCCAGCACGTCCAGATGCATCACTTGGATGGCCTCAAGATTTACACAAACCCTCAGGCCAGCAAAAGTTACTCACCCCACCAGGAGCAAGGGTTGTGATGGCTTCTTGCAGACGACTGGCACCGGAGAACTGTCGGAACAAAAGCACAAGCAGCCCCAGTGAGCACTCCAGCTGATTTCAGCAACAGCCTTCCTGCCAGGGCCACCCCTCTCCCACTTGTGTCCCTGTTCCCAGACAGCTTGTTCCCACTCCTGTGGCTAGTCCTCAAGCCTTCATTCACTCTCTGTCCCCAGCAGAGCCCTGGGCAGCTCAGTCACACACAGACCTACGTTACGGCAGCAGCCTGAGCCCTCTGCCATCTCCAGTGCTCCCCAGCTGCCTGGGCGACTCCTGATCAGTCATTAAGGTGAAGGAGATGTAACAAAGAGGCTTTCAACATTGCCAGAGTATAGATCCCCAGGATTTCCCAGTGGAAATACAGAAGATGCATACGCCTAGAGAAGTGCATCGCATAAACGAAATTGCTTTTCTCAGAGACATTTTGCAGACTCCTGGAAACAAATTACAGACCTCCAGGAGTCCACGGCATGACCAGTACCCAACCAGTTTCAACAGGCAACTCTGGGGGTGCCCATACAGAAATAAGAAGGGCTGATCACTGCAGGTGCTGTTATGACTTTCTAAAAAGAGCAGTAAGGAGGCAGTGCTGGGGCTTGAGCATCTGCAAGTGAGAAATGCACACGCAGCCCCACAGCCTGCTCCCTGAGCTGAGGCAAGGTCAGGCTGACGCGTGTCCCTTGACCACCTCCCCTGGCATGAAATACAGGTGCTGCCACACTCACGATTTCTGGCGAGCAGGGGAAGGTCTGTGGCGGTATCTGGATGAGGAGGGACAGGACTGCATTGAGAAAGCTCTGGCGCAGCCCCAAGACCAGAAGCTTGTCCAGCAGCGGAGGTAAAGCCGAGGCAGACGAGTCATGGGGGATGATGCTGCCTCCCACCTGCTTCACCGCACCCTGCAAAGAGAGGTGACAGGGACAGTAAACTGATCCTTCAAAGCCACAAGGCATGCCCAGATCCTGGGGACTCAGAGTGCGGAGTCTGTGCCAGCAGCTTAGGGACAGCATTGCACTTGGAGCAATTCCCTCTGTATTTAATAGACGAAGGGAGCTGATAAGGGCATAACTGAGGCTTTCTTAGTTAATAGCACGCTTTGTCCAAATCACAGCTCTCTGCCTCAGTTCATCCTCAAGATTCCACTCCAAGAGCAAACAAGTGGCGAAGGTGCTGCCAGCCCGGCGGTCCCAGCCCTGCCTTCCCTCCCACCAGCACCCAGCCAGGCATCAGCCATCCTCAGACCTCACAACAAACTTGTACTGACACCATCTACTTGCTAAGCAGACCGATTCTGACCATCTGAGGGGCAAAGACTAATCCCAATGAAGTTTCTGCACCAAAACAAGTGCACAGGAATGATCGTACAGAGTGCAGTGTTTGTTACTAGCCCTTGCTCCTCTTTACTGCTTATGTCCCTTATGTTGCTTCTCTTTTATTTAAGCTCTCCTCTTTGAAAGTACTGTTTGTCTTTTCCTGGCCTTTTTTTTTTCCCCCTGATGAGACAGAAGTAAAAAAAATAAATCCATTAGCTTGCAAAAAGCAGTAACACCCACTCTGCAGCCAGGATGAAGGAGAGGATGAAAACTGCTTGTCCCACCAGTTACAAGGAGCAGGCACACAGTCTCACACAGTCTCAGGATAAGTTTTCAAACAGAGGAAAAGAAGAAAAGCACACACATTCACTTAACGCGGAGTTGGATAAGTGTCTAAATATTTAGCTAGCATCTCCAGAACAAGTCATTAGCCCAGCTCCTCCATGCAGTTGTCCTGGAAGAAAACAACTGCTCTCATGGGATGAGGTGAACAGCCTGAAAGTCACCACGCCGCAGTCACTCTCAGAGGGTCTCATTACCCAGCGTTAACTTACATCTAAATCCAACCCAAGGAACAAGCCAGAGGTAAATGGGAGGCTGGCCAGCTGGTAGTGAATTGTTCCTGCCGTTCCGACTGGGATCACCGCTTCACAGAGACAAAAAAAAAAAAAAAAAAAAAAAAAGATCATTACAACATCAGGAAATAAGCAGCAACACAAACTCCTCCCCTGGTCCCCCAGCCGGACCTCACACCCACAAACCAGGTCCCGAGCATTCACTTCTCTTCCCTGGGATGTTCACTGCTACTCAAAACGGCCAAAACATCCCCAAATTCAGCCTTGTGGGATCTGCCTTTGGAATATAACCCCAAAAGAGCATCAAATATAATAAGCTAAATCCAAGGGTGATGTATAGAAATGGCGTAAGGAGGGCCAAGGTGCGAGCGGTTTACTTGGGCTGCTGGGGTGTGAATTCAAGGTTCAATAACAGCCCTACAGAGGTGCAGCTCCTCCAGGATGGACTCCTCACTTATGGACTAGACGTGGGGACAGCATTTCCCACCCTGGGACTGCAGGGAATGCAGGGAAGCAGCACCTGATCCTCCAAAGGAAACGTACCGTTGAGAGTGCCCATGAGCTGGATGTTCACAAGGTTGATGACAATATCAACTACTGGACACAGCTACAACACAAAGCAGAAATGCAACTGCTCAGCCCCCCTCGCCACCCCCCTTCAGCCCGATCAGACCCACTCCTTTTCAGCTAAATCCACTCCTTTTCAGCTAAATCCCCAGGGAAAAAAAGCGCTGCATGGCATTAGGCAGCAACTGGGATGCTGTGAAGGACTCGGGGGCAGTGGAGCATCCCTGGAGCTGTGGTACTGCACCAAAGGGGACTGCTTTATCTGGGGAATATTTCAGGCATCGCTCTGCAGGCAGAGGAGCCAGGCTGGCCATGGGCATCCCTGCAGAGCGACGCGTGCCAGTGATGTGAGAAAGCAACACAGAGAGACGGTGCAGCTGACTGTGACCTCAGAACACGTTGTTCCTGATATTTCTGTGTTTCAGCTATGGAAGGAAGGCCATCTTCAGGCTTACCAAACCTGGCAGAGTTGCTCTCAGCTGGTTAAGCACTATATCATTTACTGATAGGGACAGTAAGCTGGAAAGAAAAGAAAAGAAAAAAAATTCCAATCATTACAAACACAGCTCCGGGACAGGAGACCAAGGGATGTCCAGCCTTCATTTTATACACCACTACATCCCTAGTCATCCCTTCAGGGACACTGCTGCAGCCAATGCTGGCAAGAGCAGGGGGTTGTGCAGGAGGCAGGGAGGGCAAGGAGCTGCTCGCCTCACCGAGGGGAGAATTGGGGTGATTTCTGAGAAGTGAAGGCTTCAGCACACGGGGTGTGCAGACACCATTGCACAAAAAGAGAGTACCTCTCACAGTGTGACCTGAGTCTGGTTGTCTCCCTCTGGTATTTAAATCAGGGCTGTAGTTAAGGGAAGGTGGAGCTGTTATGAAATACCTCCGTGTTAGTTATGGGAAACAAACTATTTACACGTGGTATAAGGAGGAGAAATCTGCTGCGTAACATTTCAACACTGCTGCTAAATAGATCACTCTGGGATGTGTGATGCCTGCAGGCACTGCGGAGCCATTTCCTTTTGAAGGGTGTGCAGACACCATTGCACGAAAAGAGAGTGCCTCTTGCAGTGTGACCTGAGTCTCGTTGTCTCCCTCTGGTATTTAAATCAGGGCTGTAGTTAAGGGAAGGTGGAGCTGTTATGAAATACCTCCCTGTTAGTTATGGGAAACAAACTATTTACACGTGGTATAAGGAGGAGAAATCTGCTGCGTAACATTTCAACACTGCTGCTAAATAGATCACTCTGGGATGTGTGATGCCTGCAGGCACTGCGGAGCCATTTCCTTTTGATAATCAATATGTATCTGGACTATTGAGTTAGAACATGCAGCAGCACACTCGGCAAGCCACAGACAGCAGGAATTCATAATGCATCTCTTTATTTATGCCCAAACTCTGCCCCTAGACACGTCTGAGGAACTGCTGCGAAGCCAATCGCATACATCCACACTCCCTCTTACCCCACAGGGAGCTCATTTCCTGCACACCATCACTTTAATCCATCTAAAACTTAAAATATGACCCCCAGAGTGGATGAGTCGTGTTCCTCTGTTCACTTACACAGTCTCTTTCAAACTAGCTGCTGCACTGATTGAAATATAATGCATAATGCAAAAATTAATTATGAGAAATTCAATGAACCTGAAAAGTAAGTAATTCAAAAGCAATAAAAGAAAATATTTCCCGTGATCAATTTACTGTTGCATTCATCAATACAGGAAGTCAGCAAATTCTTTCTGCCAAGTATTTAATAAGATTGAGCAAGAGATGAGACATTTGCATGGAATTACATACACCCACAGTGCTCAGACTGAAAGTCCATATGCCCAGCATCTTTCTGTGACAGCAGCCAAAGGCAGAGTAAAAAACCAGGGCAAGTGATGGTGCTGTTTGCCTGGAATTGCTCCCTGTCCTATTATTCCCACCCTTTGGATATCAATTCACAATCTAAATCTAAAGAAAGTGCACTGGAAGTGGCATCAAACCTCATACTTCAGATCTTAAAATTTCCATGAGCAAACAGGGCAAATTAACCCTCATCTTCCGACAACTAAGTTTTTTGCCGGTTCCACTGAAGCAACCGACTTTGGCAAGGGGAAAGAAAATACTTTCCCTGAAGCCTGGCTCTGGATCAGCTGAGCGCCGTCTGTGTCCTGGCAGATTGTCTAGATGATTGGATAAAGAGCAAGGGGATTGCATGCAATGGAAAACATAAATCCACAGGCACTTACCCAGAAAGGATCTTGATCTTTATGGCACCAAGAATGCAGAGGCAGTCTTCAATGACGACCTGGACTGTGCCCGATTCAAAATTCGTGCATTTTATGTTTGCAGTAATGTTCACATCCACTAAGATATCAATTAGATCTGAAAGAAGGCCAACCAAGCTGAAAAAAGTAAATGGGTTGAACAGATTTCATCTCTCAGCCTCTAACCAGAGGAACTCAGCAAAGCCAGCAGCAACAACCTGCACCTCCACCTCCTGCAACGCATTACAAATGCCACAACCCATCCTTTGGTGCCTGTTCTGCTCTGTAACCTTATCATAGGTAAGAAACACCTAGACAACCATGAAAGATGCAAAAACACCCACGCGTGCCAGTGATGTGAGAAAGCAACACAGAGAGACGGTGCAGCTGACTGTGACCTCAGAACACGTTGTTCCTGATATTTCTGTGTTTCAGCTATGGAAGGAAGGCCATCTTCAGGCTTACCAAACCTGGCAGAGTTGCTCTCAGCTGGTTAAGCACTATATCATTTACTGATAGGGACAGTAAGCTGGAAAGAAAAGAAAAGAAAAAAAATTCCAATCATTACAAACACAGCTCCGGGACAGGAGACCAAGGGATGTCCAGCCTTCATTTTATACACCACTACATCCCTAGTCATCCCTTCAGGGACACTGCTGCAGCCAATGCTGGCAAGAGCAGGGGGTTGTGCAGGAGGCAGGGAGGGCAAGGAGCTGCTCGCCTCACTGAGGGGAGAATTGGGGTGATTTCTGAGAAGTGAAGGCTTCAGCACACGGGGTGTGCAGACACCATTGCACAAAAAGAGAGTACCTCTCACAGTGTGACCTGAGTCTGGTTGTCTCCCTCTGGTATTTAAATCAGGGCTGTAGTTAAGGGAAGGTGGAGCTGTTATGAAATACCTCCGTGTTAGTTATGGGAAACAAACTATTTACACGTGGTATAAGGAGGAGAAATCTGCTGCGTAACATTTCAACACTGCTGCTAAATAGATCACTCTGGGATGTGTGATGCCTGCAGGCACTGCGGAGCCATTTCCTTTTGATAATCAATATGTATCTGGACTATTGAGTTAGAACATGCAGCAGCACACTCGGCAAGCCACAGACAGCAGGAATTCATAATGCATCTCTTTATTTATGCCCAAACTCTGCCCCTAGACACGTCTGAGGAACTGCTGCGAAGCCAATCGCATACATCCACACTCCCTCTTACCCCACAGGGAGCTCATTTCCTGCACACCATCACTTTAATCCATCTAAAACTTAAAATATGACCCCCAGAGTGGATGAGTCGTGTTCCTCTGTTCACTTACACAGTCTCTTTCAAACTAGCTGCTGCACTGATTGAAATATAATGCATAATGCAAAAATTAATTATGAGAAATTCAATGAACCTGAAAAGTGAGTAATTCAAAAGCAATAAAAGAAAATATTTCCCGTGATCAATTTACTGTTGCATTCATCAATACAGGAAGTCAGCAAATTCTTTCTGCCAAGTATTTAATAAGATTGAGCAAGAGATGAGACATTTGCATGGAATTACACACACCCACAGTGCTCAGACTGAAAGTCCATATGCCCAGCATCTTTCTGTGACAGCAGCCAAAGGCAGAGTAAAAAACCAGGGCAAGTGATGGTGCTGTTTGCCTCGAATTGCCCCCTGTCCTATTATTCCCACCCT